ATATATATATATATATATATATATATATGCTAGCAAGTGAAACCAGGGACTGCTACATTCACCGAAGCCATGACAGAAGATCCTCCACTACATCAATTGACATAAGTTGAGCCTTGGTCAAAAGACACATGATCTCTTGTGCTACTGAAAGAGTCTTCTGGATTTCAGAGATCAACCAAGAGATACTGCACCTCTTCTTCCATCTGTGTAAAATCCTTATGCATCAGGAGAAGGTCTTTCTCCCAGTTATCAGGTGCCCAGGCCTCCATCCACCTGACTACTGTTTTTGGGAGTTGCACTTATATACCAGTATTTGCTAAAGAACAAGATGAACTTTCATTCCAGTCAGTGGTATTATTGCACAGGTTGCATCCTGGACTTCTTGTTCAAAGGAGAAGGTGCAATGGTAAATGTACACACTCCTACATTGATGTCTCATACTATATGAACTTTCTTCAGAAATGTTTGGGCCATAATCACTTACTCAGTGGTCTCAAATGCAGCTGAGCTTTACCAGCACTTTGATAAACTATGCAATGGTCTGAGTTCTGGAAAGGTTTTTTTGGGCTTCAGGATAGTGTGCTCCTAGCACAATAAGATGCATATAAGATGTAACCCAATACTAGGACACTTCAAAGTCTGGGGTAAGTCCCAGTTTGTTTAACTGACTCCAGCTTGATATAGATTGGTGTGTGCTCTGAAGTGGCCTTCCTGCATTGGGTTTTTGGCAGACTGTGCTTACTTGGGGTGGAGTTGCTGGTTAATGGCATAGTCCCTATGGATCCTTCCCCAGGGGACACTGTGATCATAGTCGAGTACCCAGTAGTCGGAAGGGTTGAAACCTCTGAAGACTTCAAGGACCATCCATCCAAGGCTTCAGTCAGAATCCATAAGTCTGATGAGTTAGCAAACAACACATCTTCACCCACCAGCTCTGATTCTATCTGGCCAAACATTAGTTCAGCTCCCAGTAGTCAGAGATGTTGGGAAAGTCTCCAACAGATAAATATTCACTCTCTATCTTAACATTGATTTTTTGAGTCTGATAAC